AATAACTTAGACAATATCTCATTAACCTCATTGATTATTGATGAAATTTTTAAGTATGGTTTCAACAGAAAGCCTTTTAAGAACAAAATTGAGAATAAAACTAGTTTCATTTTATTAAAGCCTTTATCTAGAAGTCTAAAGAATTGAACAAACCATGAAATTACGGCTAAAGATCTATTGATCTCGTTCTACTGCAATAAGTAATTAGAATTTAAATTACACATCTCCCCTTTAATCAAATTTTCATGTCTCGAAAAAAGAAAATGAAAATATTTTTTAAAATGAACTTTACACGAAATGAAAAAAACAAACAAATTTTCATTGTATGAAATATTATAAATTTCCCCCCAACTATGAATTCCTTTCCCATCTTTCAAATAAAACAGATAAGGCAAAATCTTTGCCCCTTTGAAACTCTCCATAAAAAGATATTTTTTGGCCATAGCAGCTTTTCAATCCCCGTGGAATCGCATGAGTTAGATATCAATCTATAAAGTTTTTTTAAAAAATTCTGTTTTGGAGCAGAGGAAAAAAAAATATCGGCATAAAAACCGTTAATGCATTGCATTTGTTTATCGAAATATATTCCAATTGTTTACCGTTCATTCTTTTCAAACTCGATCCTTTTCTTCTATTTTTTACCCAAATTTATATTCTACCTTTATGTTTAGTTTGACGTGTGCAAGGCATATTTATTCTTAGAAATTTGTGGCAGCAAATATATATCCCAGTTTATTGTCGTTTTTTATTTCATAATGAAGTCATTTAATCCGTTTTTAATTACAAGACCATTATAACGCAGTATAAACTCTATGAGTTTTAATTATTTTAGAATTTGTAAGACTATCTGACTTTTAGCACAAATCTGCATATTTCACAAATATTTCATTTCTTCTAATTCTTTTTACCTATGAAATTACTTCAAAATGAATTATACGATAATATAGAATAAGCAATTTTTTTATTATTAATAAATTATTTTGTGATTAATAAATTGTTTTAAATTAAATTTTTTTTGTGATTAATAAATTGTTTTAAATTAAATTTTTTTTGTGATTAGTAAATTGTTTGAGTAAAATTGCAATTGAATAGATAGATAAATTAAAGGAAGAATAACAAACGTGTGTTGTATTTACGTGCAATTTTATGCAACACATAACTTATTTGATTTACAACTTTAGATTATACTGTAATCTCTTTGGAAACATTCTCACGCATTTGTATTTTTTTTTTTTTTTCACTTTCTAGAATGCTATTTAGCCAATAAAAATAGGCTTAACTATTTCAAATGAATTCGCTCTCATTATCTCTTCTTACAGAAGAAAACTCTATTTGATGCTTTTTATAGGTCTGCTGTTTTAGTTTTCAAATTTATATACCCCGCAAGAAATTTCATCTGTAGAGGAATTTTTATTTATCAATTTTTTTTGGCAGATAAATATCCAGTTATATTTTACTTTAAAATTTTCGCCCATTTCAGAAATCTTATTTTTTTTATAGCCGACTTTCAAATTATTACTTATGCAAAAGTAATAGTTTCAAACAACTTTTTTTTTATTCATAAGAGTGATTAGAAAAATATCAAAATAAAATTTTGGGTTTTTTTTCTTAACGTTTCTAATTAATTGCCTTCTCCCCTTATTTTTTGATAAATTTGTTTTGTAATCATTTATAAAAACAGTTTTTTTTTGTACATACTCTTTGCTTCTCTATATAATTTTATAACTTTAACACACGGGACAAATAGCATTAACCGAAATTTGAAAGCCAGAGATTGCTTAGGTAGAATTTAAGCTAGAAAAAAGCTCTTTATTTCCACATAAAATAGCTTCATTGCTATTTATTATTATTATTTATATTTTTCAAACAAATTATAAAATTAAAAAAAAAAAACATTTTGAAAGTGCTAAGAAATTTTTTTAGTACATTGCCTTATTAACATATACAATGACACCATAAAGACAATGGTGAAAAAATAAAATAATTCATCAAGTCCAACGGAGCAAATTTGAACGACGAAAAATGTTGAAAAATATGACTGTAATAGTTATTCTGATTTTATATATAAAAATGATGTATATAATAATATTAAATGTGAATTTTATTTCGGAGAGAAAAATTTACAAAATCAAAAATATCAAAATGTCTTAAAGCTACTGAGAAAAATTATTATAAAGAATGTTCCAGGATTCAAACAAAGCATATTGATCTTTTCACCAACATTTAATTGTATTTTAAGCTAATAACTAGCGAAGCAATTCCCAAAAATACTTAATTTTTCAAGAAATACTTTATTGATCAAGTAAGTACATATTCTGCATGGACAATAAAATTTGACAGAATAAATTTCACTGTTTGTGATAATAACTGGTAAAATGTGCTCCAAATTTCTTTGACATCTCCCTTTGAAAAAAATCAAGAAAAAGAATATATCATGCTGCAAATTTCAGCCTGAACATATTAATAAACAAGGTTTTTTTTGTTTAAAACTACATAGATACTTAAATAAGTTGTAAAATTTACAGCACTCGTGTTTTCAAGAAACAAAATCTGGAATGCATATTCGAGAATTAATGGAGGTAAGATACATGAAGTTACTTTCAAAGTATTTTTAATAACTAAAAATTAATTATAAGAGCTTTTGTAATTTCAACCTGACAATTATTTGTTAAATTAGAACATATTATTTTACTTACTTAACTTTAAATAATCCATGATTATAAATTGAATCGCAAACCAGAAAAAAGAGCACTAATTTTTAAATCATTTTGAAAGATTTTTAAACTGCTTTGGAAACTGAAAGTAATAAAATTATCCATAAAGAATGATTTGTTATTGTTGGTAATAGAAATCACTATGGAAAGTTCAATATAGCTGAAAAATGTTTACGTAATAATAAAAAATGCCCTCTCTGTAATAAGAAAAAAAAATCTATCTTTTCCAAGAGCATAATGATTTCTCCATAAGTTTAATCCCATACTTTTTTGGTCAAAAATAATATCTTTTCAGATAAAATATAACTTCAGCTTGAACAATTGCCTGAATCATGTTGTATATGCACGAATAAATATTTGTCATTGCCAAAAATCAGACACTGTAAACTTATAAACCTTGAAATTTTTACGAAAGTAATGGAAAATGGAGTAGTTTAATGGCTCTAGAATTTATTCGACACGAAACCTTTCTTTGAAAGACAAAAACAGAGCCTTCGGCAAGGTAGACCATTAATTTCTTGCAATATTGGGGATGTTGTCGTCAAAATGCTGATCGATCGTTCTTTGCACCGGATAATAAAGCAAGCATTTTTTTCCCTTCGTCTGTAGATATATATCCCATCATTTTCTACGCTGCCCTCTAGTTTTTTTCATTACTATTTTTTCCATGTGTATTGGCATTCGAAACTTATCATTGCGTTTGAAGAAAGCCAATGCTTTACAGATGAGCTTGCGAATGACTTCGTTCCAGAAAGAAAAGAAATGGTTCCATTTTTTACTTTTTTCGTGTTGTTTATAGAATTTCTTCCTAGCATTATTCTGCGCACAGTGGTATAAATAAGAATGTAGGAGAAATGCATTAAATTTGTTTTCATGTTTTCAAGTTTTTACGTAGTTAATAGAAAGAAATTGTTAGTTTTGTATAGGTTTATGAAAGCTTCCATCTCCTGCATAGTTTATTTCGAAGAAAATAAACGATGGCTACAAGTTTCCTACATAGCATTTACTCATGTTTGTGGGATATATCAGATGGAAAGAAAATAGTTCTCCAAGCGTATTCCTTGAACAAACATGGTTTGAGATGTTCGATCGATGCTAGACAAACTATTGGTTTTATAAATTTGAATTAACTTAGAAATTTATAAAAAAGAAAATGAAAGTTCTTTAGAAAATTAATAAACAGATATCTGCATATTTTATTTTGATATAAATCATACATTAGATAAACGTAAAAAAGAAGGCAAAAAAGGTGTTTATTAGTTATTAACTGTAGGAAAACAATTTGACATTTACGTAATCCCTATAGTAGTTTGTTACACATCAAAAATTACTTTTCGGATTATAATTAATTCCAAATCAGGAAAAGTAGAGCTACTCTGAAAGCTCCTTAGACTTAAAAACACATTACTTAGGATAGAAATAAAAAAATTTCTAATATCTGAAATGCAGCACAGATCTGAACTGTTTTTCAGTTTAGTTTATTCCAATTCGTTTTGCAGAAAATAAATTGAATTACAAGTACAGATTACAGGAAAGTATTTTATATATGATCTTGAATTTTATTAGTGATATATATTTTACTAAACAATTGTAACTTTTTCGCTCTTATGTTATACGCTCTTTTTATATTACGTTATTAAACATAATTCTATCTTATCCACTTCTTGCAATAAGCCCACATCAATTACAGTCAGATTAAGAAACAAAGCGATTTACATTTTCAATTTCCTATAAAATAATCAGATACAATCGAGAGTCATTATTGAATGAAAAGAAATGTATACTATAAGAATTAAATTTTTACCATATCAGTAGCATCTGATACTAATTGAAATTCGCAGGATCTTGATTTAAATAATAGATAAAATTAATTAGCAAATTATATTTTATATTTCCTATTTATATTATGTTCCGATGAACAGTTGTTGGTCTTAAATTATATTAGGAGAGATTTGAACTAGATATCTACTGGTTTACAAACAAATGTTATGCTGCATCTTTCATAACTGAGCAGAAAGATATTCGTTACCGGACTAGTTATTCAGAGCTTTTACTCATGTCGTTGTGTGACATTGGACTATTTGTGATGTACTCTTCACTGACGTCGGGGACTTTATAGTTATTCGAATAGCATAAAATTACAATTTCTTCTCAACCAAAATGAGACGAATTAGATTAACATAGAAGTGAAGTGATTCAGAGAAAATGATATGAAAATTCAAAGGAGATATAGAAGATAACCACTTGCTGATAGAGATTTATAGTTTGGATAGAAGCATCTTAACCAGTTTCGTTGATTGAAGCAAATCCTGCAATTCACACCAATTATCGCAGCAAGCTGCGTTCTTCATCGACTCGTGAGCCTAGTGATCCACTGCTCAGAGTTGTCATAGTCATTTTGTTCGAGTTCGAATCGGTGGGGATAGGGACAGAGAATATAGGGGCGCGGTGCACTCTAGAGTGCAGCTCTCGCACCTAGCCCGAACCCCCGAAGGAGCTCGAACCCCCATAGACCTCCAAGGTCCGGGAAGCAGGTACGCCCTCTTCAAGACTCGGCGACAACCGTCTCCACTCACAGAGACTCGAGAAAATATAATTCCAAAAAAAATTCTCGAGAGCCACCCGAACGAGAAAGAGGCTACGATCGGCAATGACACTCCACTCGTAAGAGGCGTCGACCCGGAAACGTCACACGACGAACGAAGACGCCTTAATCGGAGGCGAGAAACTCCTTACGGCAGAGCACCGACCGAGGAAGAGACGACGGCGCAGAGTCCGGAACGCAACGCACCGAATCCAAAACCGGAACCCGACACCCGAACCGAACGCACGAAAGCACCGGACGACCCCTGCCCCCGCAAAGGATCACCGACACCTCGCACGCCCGAATCCGAATCTCAAGAACCAGTCCGAACCCGGACAAGCAGGCCCCTCGTACCGCACGGCCATAACTCCCCGACTTCCTCTCCGCCGGTTTGAAGTATTAATATAACAATAAACTTTTTGTAGGAAGTGTTAGAACCAGACGAGTGAATTGATAAGCTGAGAATTTATTAGTTGATCCTAATTTAGAATTAATAAGTTAAGTAAAATTCGATGGAGAAAGACTTTATCTGTCAATCAGTGGGATTAATCTAGCTTATTCCTTCATGTCTTCAATTGGAATTTAGCACTTTAACTGATATATTAGAATAAGATATGGGGCAAGAGTTGAGTAATGAAGAAAAGGCGTTATAGTTGTGACTTGTAGGAGAGGATACTGATTATCCTCTTTTTTAATGGGGATTTTTTTTTTATATCCATGAACTTCTTAAGTAATATTAAGAGAAGGTTGTTTCTAGAGTCAGTACTGCGCCGTAGCAATTTGTATCAGTTTTCTTGGTTTATAAATGGGTGTTTTAGACATACTGAGGCAAATTTTTAATTGGCAATATATTAAACCAAAAATTCAAAGCTGCGATGTATTTCCATCTAGTGTTCAAATTATTGGATACTACTTTGGAGAAGGTTAGGTGACCTTTGTTTTGTTGGAAATATTTTATGGTGACGTTAGGACGCAGATTTGTTCTGTTCATCTCCCGTGTCACCAGACCAGTCCACTGGGCTGCCACTTTAACAAGTATGCTAGAAAGGAATTCCCTGTTAGGCTATTTATTAAGCGCTTTACTCCTGACATTGTAGCCGAAATTCGTAAGAGAGCTTTGCAAAGCAAAATTTTATTTCTTTTCCTCAATCAGTTGTTCACTTCTGCCATTCCTTCCACTTTGGAAACAAGACTTATTCAAAGTACTGTTCGTTAGATGTTGCTAATTTGACCTCAGTATACTTGTAAGTTAACTGAAGAAACATTGCATTACTTTAACTGTGTTACTTCTAAGGGGCTATAATTCATTTTACATTCTGGAAGAAAATCAGGAGTACTGATACACCAATTTTAAAAATAATATGATGGTAAATTGTAAGGATAATTGCTATAACATTTATATAGTTTGCAATGATTTTTTCTAAATCCCCACAAAGAATTTAGTTGAAGTATCAACATGGGAAAATCATTTAATTTTAAAAAATAATGAATCAAATTTGCTTAAATTCAATGGGAAGGAACAATTTTATTATTTTTTTAAAATAAAAATCCACGAAATAAACTGATACAATTATTGATCATGTGCTTGAAATGATTTTGAAACAATGAAATAAATTATAAAAAAACAAAAGAAATGTAATTCTAAAACTGTTTTTCTATGCTGTTAAAAGATCTACTATAAATATAATTGTAGGAGAAAATACATTGCAATAACTTAATAACCATGCAAGAATTTTTTTAATAAATAAAACTACAGTAAGACCTCGATAAGTTGGATTAAGTGGTACCACAACTGATCCGGATTACCGAAAGTCCAAATTATCTGGAGAACAGAAAAAAATGATGAAATAAAACATGCTGACAGAAAATTATCTTTATATTGAACAAATAGATTATGAATCCCACTTACATAAGATGAAGACGTCTACTGTGAAAAATAGAAGTGCGCTTAATGCTGATTTACAGCATTTTCCTATACAGGGCACTATATACCATTGATCATTGTTGATCAGAGTCATATGTAATTTTCTTTAATGACCATGCTCAGAATATTTAAAAATTTCTTTCCTTTTCCTTTCATGCATTCAAAACTGTGAAATTTTAATACTGGAAATACTTTTTTAAAAAAAATAAGGGGATGAAACCAATAAAGGATAGTATGGAAATTTATAGATCAATTGTCAAATTTAAAAAAAAATAAAATTCGTGTAGATCTATCTGAAATAATGGAAATTTGAGTTAAAGAAATTCGACTTAACAAGTACTTCTGTATATTGATATAAAAAAAATGAAAATATTTAATTCACATAACACGAAACATAACAGTTAAGTTTCAGTATTATTAAGAAATTAGTATTATTAAGAATTTTCGGTTTCTTAATAATTCAGTATTATTAAGAAACCGAAAAAAAAAGTAAGTGGAGGATCGGCATACTTAAATTATTTACGTATCAAAAATTAAGCCGACTGCTAAGTACTTACTTATAGAATTTGTAGTATCAAATTAATTCTTAATTAAAATTGTGAAAAATTATCATCTAATAATTATTAAACTTATTATTTTGTTATTTTTAAATCCATTTAGAGCTGCTTGCGATGAAATATTTAGCAATGAGGTATTTAATTATAACTCACTACCCAATGAATTGTCTCAAGTACAGTAATTGATTGGACCATTCTTAAGACATAATCTTAAAATACAATAAGGAAAATAGCAAAATGTTGGAATATCCTTTAAATGTTTAGGGGTTATCAATAAAAAAAATAACTAATCCATTTTCTATTTAATTAAAAAAACAAGATTTTTTTTCCCTTCCAATTTTTGAAAGAAATAAGCGCATCTTCTGCATCTGAAAGTTTAGTGACAGCAGAATTTGAGGCGTAGAGTGAGGAGAGAGTGCCTTAAGTGAATTAATTTTAAAGATCTTTTCATAGTTCTGAATAAAAGAACTTAAAGTAAAATCAGAACTTAAAAGCTCCACTCAATTATTCATCTAACTAATGCTCTTCCTTAAGTTACTTTAAAAGGGAGTGAGAAAAGAGGGAAAAAAATGCCACGTCATACATAGAGAGTGAAGGGAAGAAAAAAAACCCGTTTTAATGATAAATGCGCTGCTACTTTTCTTTCATTTAAAGTCATAAGAAGATTAAAAAAAGCAAGAAAAAGAAAAGAATAACGTGTGCAATTTGCGCCTTTTTGGTGCTGTGAAATATTCTTGGTAAAAACATTAAAAAATGACGAAATGAAATTGATGAATAAAAACACGAGGCAAAAAATGGCCTTCTTTTTAATCTAAACAAGAGTTTTTGCTTAATGAATGCGTGCATTAATTCTTCCTAGGAGATTAATTAAGTTAAATAAACTAGGGTACGAAGCTAGAAGGTGCAAACAGCAGAGATGTGAACTTTTAACAAAGTCAGACCTGAAGTCAAAAATGTATTTAAGATATAAGTTTTCCCTCTGAAACTTAATTGCTTTTTAAAATAGTCGAAGTTTATTTTTTTCCTTCTCGTTATCGACTTAGTCAGATTCAACCCAGTAAGTGTTCAGAACAGTTTTTTTCACCAAGCTTACTAAATTCAATAATTTGAAAGATTAAGAAGAAGCTAAATAAAAGAAATCTTTCTAACTAAATTTAAATGTTACATGAACGTTTTTAGGAAACGTGTATCATGGGGATATTTTCGGCGAGTACCAAATTAGATCAAATTAGAATTCAGGATTCATTCAAATACCTACGAGCCAAATTGCGTCTAAGAATACAAAGACCAAAATTTTTTTTTAAAAAAAGCGACGAGAAAATGCAAAGTGAAAATAAATTCACCAAGAAATAATTAACTTTCTAAAATATTTTTTTATTGAATTTAAGATGAAGATAAAGGTGTATCTAGTCTGAAGTAATGATTAAGAAGAAAATAAGAATGCTTTAGTAATGTAAATGTAAATTTTTATCAAGCAATCAACAGTTTAGACTAGAAAGTGTTAGAAAGAAAAGTCTTTTTTCATTATGTTAATGACGTATTCATTATTGAATAATTTATTGATTTTTAATGAAAAGAAATATATAATTTTTTTTTCATTTACACAGCAAAATTAAAATGACTTTCTTTAAGAATATTCAGAGTATATAATATCAAATTGATTAATATTTAAAAGTAGTTCTTCATTATATTTCCAGTAAATATTTTAAACAGACAAAAATATTATTTGAAATATTTTTTTATTCTTTAAACATACAAGATGATTTTTTCGGTTTTTAATATAAAAAAAAAAATCAGCATCCTTTATCTCTTGAGAAAACAGAAAAGAAACTCATGAACTTTAGGCAATGGACTTTACAGAAGGTTTTCATTAAAGTTCTAAATTTTTCATAACTCTAGATTTATAATTATATTAATGCAACACTTGTTGTAATAATCTTAATTCTTCGATTTAATTACTGAAATATTAGTTTCAATGGTACAGTGAACTTTATATAAGCAAAATTTATACAGTAGTGCTTTTTATACGATCTATTTACAAAACCGCGTTTAAACTAAATAGTTTCTAATGTAGTATGCTCAAATATTTCGTGCAAATAAGTATTAAAATCTACCACAGACTATTTCATTGTATTAATAAAATAACTCATCAATGCATGAGTCCTATATTAATATAGGGAAAGGAATGGGTTACTTCGTATGCTGAACGGAAAAATTGTTTGCAATTTTCTGAAACTTGAAGCAAATTACTAACAATTGTTAAAATTAATTTTTGAATAAAACAATCAGATTGAGGAAATATCTCTAAAATAGCATTTTT